TATAAATTATTTCATTATTTGTCTCCATGTGAGGACATGAGTACTATCTAGTTTTATCGATGGCGATAACCACGCGATAGTGACGTGTCGTCATGCCATTACATTACTTTTTCAGTGTAAAAGGCAGGGCAACTGAATGAATAATTGAATGTTACGCGTTTTCCCGTTCTTGAAAAGTTGAAATGTGAAAAGGAAAAAGGAGAAATGGACCACCACGCACTTCCAGCTGGTTGTCTTCCTTTTGCCCTTTCACATTTTATTTGTGGGTAAAATCTACATTTAGTTCTTTATTTTATTAAATTTATCACTTTTAACTTTTTACTTCAAATATTGAACCTTTTAACACCTAAACTTAAAAATTTAAGGATTTTGGCCTCTAGACCAATGGAAGTAGTTAATTCTCTATTGCATGAAAGTGGACTAGATTGTCATTGTTCTACACTCTAGGAACTGATCTTTAATTTTTTAATTTTACTTAAGAAGTTGTTGGAGTAAGCACTAAAATCTTTAAATGTTTAGATTCATAGGATCAAAAGCTTCAGTGTAAGGTGAAGAAAATAATAGGCTAAACATAGGCTTTCATTTTATTTACTAATGGGTGGGTTGTTAGATTGTGATTATAGGGCAAATTCAAGTGCGAATAAAAGCTAGGATGTACCTACATTTATAACGGGTTGGGGAAGTGTTTTATCCCAAGTTTAAAAAATGAAAAAGAAAAACGGCATTGGACAAAAGTTACATGGAAGAAAAGCTCAAATGTCATCCTACAAAATCTTCTCTTTGAACAGATATGCAAAGCCCCGAGGTTAATACTTGAATTAGACACTCCAATACTTAAGTCAGTAATAATCTAGTATACTTTTAAGTCAGTAATAATCTAGTATACTCTTAAGGAAGAATGGAAAGGAAGAATGATACAAAATGGGATATGATGGATTCAGAGATGGAGGTTTTGTGTATTTGGAAGCCAAAGAAAGGAAATCAAAATAAATAGAATTTGAATGCAGATGAATTAAGAGAAGTGGAAGAGTTAGTGAGGAAGGATTGTAATAGATATTATATACCTTACCAGCTTATATGTTATTAATGCTGTTAAGCTTTATGGGACAAGCTCACTTAGTGGAGGTGTGCTTTTATTAAATTGGTTTCATTTTGAGTTATGTTTTGATCAAAGTTTTTCTGTTGTTGAAGGAATTGAGTTGCCTCAAAAGAAGTCCAAGGCTCTTATGGCAGCCTAGGTTCAAGAGGGAGTTAGAGCTAGGAATTTTGGACTTCAGCCAACTAGTACAACAGCCCATGTTGCCATAGTTGGCATTCGCATACTACAAGCTAGAAGACCAAGTGTTCAGCTTGTAAGGAGAAGGGTTGAGGAGCAAGCTACAGCTCAGAAGAAAAGGAGAATGGAGGAGTAGCAGTAGAGAGACAAGGCTCCTAAGTTCGTTCCTCATCCCCCAACAGTTGAGATCAATCTAGTACTTTATAAGGTGGGTGTTGTGACACATAGAAAGGAGAAAAGCACATCCTTGTTCCAGCTCAGCAGTCCATGTTTTTTGAATCTACAAGCAAAATTACTACGAAGTGATTCATCAACTCCACCTTCCCCAAGGTAGATCGGTAATGTTAGAGGGATGAGGTGGCAGTGCATAGTGGAGTAGAAGTTGTTCATCATGTCCTTGAGGTATCAAATGGATAGGAATTTTTAGAGTTTGGTTGATTAATTGATTATAATATATATACTACCTTTCTTTTTTCTTTTTTCTTTTTTCTTTTTCTTTTTTTTTTTTAGTTCAGCATTTCATGTAGACAACTAGGGATGGCAATTCTCCCCGTTCCCCGTGGGGATCCTCGCCATGGGGATGGGGCGGGGAGGAATATTCCTCCTCGTGGGATGGGAACGAAGACCAATTTCGTGGGGAATTTTCCCCACCTCGTGGGGCCTCGCAGGGATCCCCATCCCCACAAAAAAAAAAAGTTTTTATTTTAAAATTAATTTATTCTTTAAACTCAAACCTAAACCCAAACCCAAACCCAAACCCAAATCCAATCCAATTACAATTAAACTTAACCCAATACTATCCAACCCAACCCAACCCAACCCATTCCCCTACATTTAACCCTAACCCTAATTTATTTTAATTCTCATCAATCACTCACGGTCTCACTCTCAATCTTTGTCTGCGGCTCACCCATCTCTCACCCTCATCTCACCTTCTTGGTTTCCTCTGCTGTAGCTACTGTCGAAGCTTGCTGTCGAATCCATCTCCTCTGCTATTGTCGGATCCATATGCTCTGCTACTGCTACCGAAGACATTTACTTTGCGACTACTGAAGCCATCTACTCTACTGTTGCTAGATCCATCTGCTCTGTTGCTGCTGCTGCTACTACCAAATCCATCTTCTTTGCTGCTGCTACTGTTGCCGAATCCATCTTCTTTGCTGCTGCCGAAGCAATCTGCTCTGCTACTACTAGATGCATCTACTTTGCTGCTGCCGGATCCATCTATTCTGTTGCTACCAGATCCAACTGCCGAAGCCATCTACTCTGCTGCGACTGGATGCATCTACTTTGCTGCTGCTGTATCCATCTGCTCTATTGCTGTTGCCAGAGTGATCTGCTACTGCTACAGAAGCCATCTACTGTTGCTATCAGAGCCATCTAATATTAATTGATGGGGAATGGAGATCTTCGCAGGAAACGGGGACGGGAGGCAAAATCTGCCTCCCATAAAAAATCCCCACGAGGATCCCCGTCCTCATGATTCGCGGGGATAAGGATGGGGAGGGGCTCCCCAACCCCGCGGGGCCCTGGTGACATCCCTATAGACAACAAACCTTATGAATGCATTGTCTAACACATACTTTGATTGCCTCAAGGAACAAAACAAGTTAGAGAAGGAAAATGAGAAGCTCAACAAACGAAAGGATGAAGCTAAGAAAAATGTGGCAAACTTTAACTCAGAGTTGGAAAGGCTATGAGAAGAGAATGCCACATTGAAGAAGGCAACCAAGCTCTCCAATCTAAAAAGGAAAATTTGTGAAAAGGAGGTATCTAAAAAGGATAGCGAAATAACTGAGGTGAGGAGGAAAGCTACCAAATTGGAAAAGAACATTGAACTATGAGTTCACAATGGGATGGAGGAGCACATCTCAAGATTCATAAGTCCAGCACCTTTGACAACACAGTGAACCTTTACCGGCTACTCACCATTATTCTAGCATTTACCAATTGCCGAAAGAAGGTAAAAAGCTTAGTATCTTGAAGTGGGTGTGACTAGCATCACATTTGAAGCTTAGGAAGAAGGTGTAAAGGAGAATAGTGATAGCAAGACAGCTGATTTTCATCCCAAGGTCACGTTGAAATGGAATCGAGATAGTGAAGGTCGCATTGTTTTCCCTCCAAACTTCGGCTTTGAGTTCATTATGGTAGACAAAGAAGAGGTGGAGGCACCCAGAAGGGCTGAGGTTGCAGACAATGTGCAAGAACAAGAAGTGGACCAATAGCATCAATTAATCGAATAGACTCACCTTAGCTATTTAGTTTAAATTTTGTAATTGAACAAGTTTTGCAATTGAAAACTTTTGAAAATTTTATATATAAAAATTTTATTTTTAAGTACATTATTGTTACGTTGAATTTGATGTTTTATTTAGTTGTTTTATTATTTGAAATGTGAATGTGAAGACTTAAGTCAAACAGAATAAGATAGATATTGAACTAGAAATGGAATTCACCTCGGATGCACGAGATGATATTTCAAATTGAATAATTGATAAATTTAGTACAAAGGTGTTGAGAGACAAACAACAAAACTACAAATTCATCTTGAATGTATGAGCTAAAAAATATGTCCAACAAAATTAACAAGTTGGGCAAAAAAATAACAAAATCTAATACCAAACTTAGACTAATTTCAAGTCTCAAAGATAGAATTTCTTTAAGTTATTGACATTCCAAACTCTAAGAACCTTTCTACCTTTAACATCTTGGAGAATGTAAGCCTTAGGATGTGGTATGTCCACCACTGTATAAGGGCCTTCTCAGTTCGGGACTAATTTGCCAAAGCGGATTTCAAATCCTATAAGCCCAACTTTTCTGAGGACAAGGTCACCAACTTTAATAGTTTGAGGTTGAACCCACTTATTATAAAAGTTGGTGGGTTTTTGCTTATAGGATAGAGTTCAAAAATGAACTTCTTCTCTAACTTCGTCAAGCAGAACAAGGTTCTCTTGAAGTAGTTGCCCATTTCATTTCTCATTGACATGGCTCACCTTTAAGCTGGGATTCCTATTTTAATAGAAATCATTGCTTTGATGCTAAAGGCTAAGTGGTAGGGTGTTTTACTTATTTAAGTGAATGATTGTTTTAGTATTTGCTTTCCATATTATATATATTTAGACTAAGGTTAAAGTAAAGGATGAATAAAACAAAAACTATAATGAAATGAGATGAATTGGATAAATTCGAGAGCTAGTACCTATGGCAGTTTTGCTTGTGGTTCTATATGCCCATAGCATGTTGTTGAGCTCATTTACCCACCTGGCCTTGTGTTGCTCCAACCTCGACCTAATTCCTTTAAGAATTGCCTTATTAATCAATTCTACCATCCTATTGGCTTTCAAGTGATAAACCGAGGTGAATTGTAGCTTGATCCCATAACTAGAATAGAAATCCTTGAAAGAAGTGTAGTTAAATTGAGTTCCATTGTTGGCAACAATGTAATTAAGGATCCCATACCTACAAATGATGGAGTTGAAAAAAAAGTCTTCAATCTTTTTGAAAGTAAGACTAAATAACAGCCAAGCCTTAACCCACTTCGTGAAGTAGTCTACACTAACTACCAAGTGCATGCTCCTTCAACTCCCTTCACAAATAAGCCCAACAGATCGAGCCCCCACTAGGCAAATGGCCATGGCGCCACTAAATGAGTGAGCTCCTCTATTGGCTGGTGAGTCAGATATGCAAAGAACTGACACTTCAAGCATCGCTATACAAACTCATTAGCGTCCTTTTACATGTTTGGCCAATAATACCCTTGCTTGAGAACTTTGTGACCTAGCATTCTCGCACCTACATGGCTTCCACAAACACCTTCATGCCCCTCGCGAAGGACATACTTGGCCTCACAGGGTGTTAAGTAATGTAGTAAATGGAGTGAGAAGAATCTTTTATAAAGAACTCTGTCAATAAGAGTGTATCGAGACACCTTTCTTTTCAACCTCATCTCTTCCTTTTTGTCACTAGGAATTGAGCCATCCTATACATAAGACTTTATTAGGTCCATCGAGCTCAGAGTATCCAAATCTGTGCTAATCCCCATCACTTTTAGCGTTAGGAAGCTCAACTCATTGAGGATCTCAAGGTAAATTAACCTCATCCCTCTAGAACTATTTGGGGCAAATTTGGAAAGTGAGCTTGCTTGCTCATTTTCAGATCTGGATATTTTGCTAAGGCTACAATTTTCAAATTGGCATTTCAGCTTAGAAATCATGATTGCATACTTCATTAAAGTGGGCTTTACAATCTTGTAAACTAAATTTACTTAATTCTCCATGAGTTAAGAGTTGCTATAGATTTAAATAACTTTGACTTTCAATTCTAGTGCCAATCAAAGGCCAAGTAACACAGCTTCATAGTTATTGGTTGCTTCAAAGTTAAACTTCAGGGTGTGTTCACTTCGAAATTTGTCTCAGCCAACCAAAATTGCTCCAGCTTCTGACCCCTTATGATTTGATGCCTTGTCAATATATAAAGTCCATGTGTCTAGCTCAAAGATAGAATCTAGCAAGTTAGAGGTACATTTAGCAACAAAATTTGCCAATGCTTGAGCTCATATTACTTATCTCTATTAGAACGTTATTTCAAATTCTCCTAGTGTAATTGCTCATTTGATTAATCTAACCAAACACTTAGGTTTCTATAGGATTTGTTTGAGAGGTTGATCTATTAGGACAATGATGGGATGAGATTAAAAGTATGGTTGTAACTTCCTAGCTGAGGTAACAATCGCAAGGGCTATCTTCTCAACAATTGTGTACCTCTGCTCTACCCCGTGCAATACTCTACTTGTGTAGTATATTGGCTTCTATCGTTTTCTTTCTTTTTACTAACATTGAACTTATCATCTCATCAGAAATTTTGTGGTATAAATAAAGGATATCACCATCAACAACTTTAGTCAACAGGGGAGGTGAGCTAAAGTAAGACTTAAGCTCGTCGAATGCATTTTGGCATTTCGACATCCATTCAAACTTCTTCAAATTTCTAGCTTTGTTTTTTTGGGTAGCCAATCTTATAATCTTAAAGAAAAGGAGGCACTTGTTAGTTGACTTAAAGACAAAACTATGAAGAGCTGTTACTCGCCCAGTTAAACGCTAAACGTCTTTAATAGATTTTGAAGGCTCCATCTTTTCAATAGCCTTAATTTTCTTAGGGTTGACCTTTATCCCCCTTCTAGATACCATAAACCCAAGAATTTACTTTATTCCACATCGAAGATACATTTTGCAATGTTCAACCTCATCCTGTTCTTCCCAAATTGTTGAATGTTTCTTGTAGGTCGACTAAATGATCTTTAGCCTTCAAGCTCTTCATCACAATATTATCAACATAAACTTCCAAATTTCTACCGATTTGAGTTTGGAATACAATAGTTACCATTTTCTGATATGTTGCATCCTCTTTTTTCAATCTAAAAGGCGTCATCACCTAGCAGTAAATCTCATCTCCAACATGAAAGGAAGCCTTCACTTCATCTTTGGGAGCCATTGGAACTTGATGATAGCTCAAATATGTATCTAAGAGACTCAATCTCTCATTACTAAAGGCTACTTCAACTACTATGTCTATATTTGGCATTGGGTAGCAGTCTTTTGGACAAGCTTGGTTGAGGTTCGTGTAGTTGATGCATATCATCCACTTATCATTGCTTTCTTAACCAAAATAGGGTTGGCAATCCATTTGCAGTAATCAACTCTTCTTATGAACCCAGCTCATAGAAGCTTTTCTACTTTTTCTTTAATTACCTGAAGTCTCTCACCCCTAAAGCGACGTCTTTTCTAAGCCACTGGATTCTTCAAAGGGTTGGTACTCAACCTATGCATAACCACTGTGGTTGAAATCCTTGGCATATCTACGAATGTCCATGCAAAATCACCTTTATTAGCTCAAAGGAAGGCAATCAAGTCTTCCCTTTCCTTTGTACTCAATTTGGTCCTAATATGAGTTTTTCAGGTTGGATCTCTGTCATCAATTTGCACATTTTTCACCTCTTCAACTAGGGTAGCTCATGCCTCATCTTTAGGTTGGTTGTGAATTAATTCTACCCTCATCATTTGCTAGTCATTTGGGGCTTGGGGCTTTAACATTTGACTTATCTCTTTGTTCTCTTAAGGTCGTGTGATGGAAGTCATGTAGCAATGTTTAACTATCTCTTGATTGCCTTGTAATGTTGCTATCCCCATGGTCATAGGAAACTTCATACACAAGTGGGATTGTGACATAACAGCTCAAATCTTTAGCAATGTAAGTTAGCCGATAATGACATAGGTGATGTTATCTTAACAACCAAAAACCAAATTGAAGGAGTGACATAAGTTTGACCTCTGCTAAATGCCACATTAAGTGTGAGTACTCCTTAACTGGAACTGACAAGTTGTTGAATTCATAAATAAGGTCATTGTACTTCTGTAGCATAGTTGAGTCAAGCCTTGGGCTCTCAAAATAGTGGTAATACATTATCTTAGGAGTGCTCCCAATGTAAATAAGGATACATTACACCTCACAATTATTAACTATGATGGAAGTGACCAATGGGTCAATGTGAGCAGTTACAACACTGCCAAGATCAACAGAGGTGAAAGTTATAGGTTAGTTCTTTCATTCTTCATCATCAAACTTCCTTTTCTATGCTCAATTTTGGTGCTTGACCTCCTTAACATATAATTTCCGCTACTTAGAACTCAACCCTCTTGCTTTAAGTCCACTAGTTATCATGTGAATAATTCTAACTAGGGGTGAAAGAGGTGAAGGAGCTTATTAGTACCTTGCTCCCTCCCTGTTGTTTGTGTTTCGAGGTCTTTAGGACTGTTGTCCCTACTCTTATATAAACTTAGGTTGATTTTGTTTTGGATGTATTCATTCAACATTTCTCTCTGAGCTAACTCTTCTAACTTGAATTTCATATTATTATACTCCTATGTTGTGTGGCCATGATCCTAGTGAAAATCACAGTATCTTGTATGATTCCATATAGTACCTGAACTCCTCATTGGAGCTAGCTTCTTCAACTCCATTTTGTTTTTAATCTACATTAAGATCTGTGACCTCGACAGAGTGAAGTGTCCATGTAATTGGTGATTTTGCAAATGGCACCTAGGAAACTGTCAACTTTGTCTTCCTAAAGTTAGGCATAAGGACTAGGCCTAGATTTTGAACTCCCTTCATCCTCTTCTTGCATTGTCCTTCTTCTCTTCAACCCGGATTCCGATTATCCCAAATAGGTGCTAGCTTTCGAGATAATGTATATTCTTCAACTGTGATAAACTTTCAAGATTTGTCATTGACTTCATCAAAAGTAGCAAATAAGCGTTTGATTAGATTGTCTCTAAACCATTCACGGTTGAGGCCTTGGATTGTAGCAGCAATCCCAACTACCTGATCAAAAGAGCTAATTTTGAGAATTGCATCGTTAAATCTGTTCATATAATTTTTCAAAAATCCCCTTTTGTGTTGTATCACCCTTATGAGCTCAGGTGTGGTTTTCTTTATAAACCTTATACTAAAGAATTTCGTGGCAAAAGTAGTTGTCATTTCAACATAAGAACCAATGGATCTTAGAGGTAGACTATAATACCACGTTCGAGCATTGCCATGAAGAGTTGAGGGAAATATTTTACACATTAGAGCATCTGAAGTGTTTTGAGCTTACATGCAAGAATAGAATGCATGCAAATGGTCGTTTGGGTTTTTAGTCCCATCGTATGTCTCAAATTGGGGCATCTTGAACCCGACTAGATAAGGTTTTTAAATAATATTAGTGTTCAATGGGTGTGACATCGAGTTAATATTGTTTTTAGGTGGTAGAACACCTTGCTGCTCGGCCACTATTCTTTCCAAAGTATCGAGATGTCTAGTAACATCATCTGGCAAGGTTGGCTAGGGTAGAGCTACATGGGACTAGCCCTATGATTCACTTAGTGCTGGAGCATCTTTATTGTCATTAGACTGAGCATTATGTTGTTCTTGTTGCTAAACTCAGGGTTATTGAGCTCGATTTAATAAATTGATGAGAAGGTCACCAAGGTTATTTCTAGCTAGGAGTTAGGCTAATACCAGTTGGAAAATCCCAAATTGCTATTGCATTGCCGTAAGCTAAACTGCAACTGCATCTCCTTGGATGGGAATTGTGTTCTAAGGTTGGTTCTCATCATCTCCATCAATATATTGTTCCATGAAGGTGTCTAGGTTTGGTGTGGATTGTAAGAGATTATTAGTGTTTTGTCCCTGACCTCGGCCAAAGGGTTGAGCCTGACTTCCTGTGCCAACAAAACGAGTATTAACCATGTCACAAAGGTTGTATTAACAAAGTTTTTAATTCGTTTCCTATAGACGGCACCAAATGTAATTGCAACAAACCCTCGAGTCCTTCCCAGTCCAAATCTTTTCTTTGAACAAACCTGCAGAAATCTCTGATGCTTAAGTCAACAATAATCTAATATACTCTTAAGGAAGAATGGAAATGAAGCTTTAGGTTAGTTTCAATTACTTTCAAGAGGTGACCCATAGGGATATTTATAGACCTTAATGAGGTATCCATATGGCCTTCTTAACAAGATAATCGAGATCTAGCATGTCCATAATAGTGGGCATTTCGGGAATGGGAGATTAAGTGAGTGCATTCTCACTATAGGTATCATCCAACTAGGAAGAGCTTGGGTCTCAACTCGATTATCAAGAGATCAAAGCTCAAATAACATGGGGAATGGTTTGAGCTTAATATATATGCAATATGTCTGAGATTGGTGATCTCAGACCTATCCTTACAAAGTCTGAAGTTAAGATTAATAAAAAAATCCTACCCTCGGTCTCTCCCTCATTCTACCCCTAAAGGAAGTTACTTAAATTAACCATGCCTAACGATTAGGAAGCAAAGAAAATTAGTTTCTTTAGTACTGCCCTCACTACGAGCGGTATCTTTCTAAGGATGTGGTTATAACTACCAATTATTTTATTAAAATTATTAAATTTTACTTAAAATATATTTATTTTATTT